TTGCTAATAGCCAAAAGCCGAAGCTCATGGTTTCACTTGAGATTTGGACATCTGTTACCAAGTCATCTTAAACCATTTTTAATCAGATCCTGAAAGTGGGGGAAAATCCCATATTGTTTTTAAGAAAAGCAAATAAAACCATCCTAGAGTAGTTCAATATGTGCTAGCTCAAGCTCTATGTGTAGTAGATTTTTCTGTAGAAAATGATAAATAAAATAGTGTTTATTGTTTTAAAGCACAAGTCTTTCCTTGAAAATGAAGGAAAGCTGCTCCAGCTTCTCTAACTGTTCTGTCTTGCAGTGCTTCATGTGGACTGTTTCAGTTCATGGTTTTATCAGCCAAGGTATAGGTGTAGCTGAACTGCAGAGCTCTTGAGCACAGGCAGACTTGATTTTTTGTAGCAAGAATTACGGATAAATGGACTTGTGTCAAGCCAATTTGAGACTGTTCTTTCTCTCAGTCCTTTAGAGGACAGAAGCTGCAGTCAGCAAGATCAAGTTCCAGATACTCGTAGACCCCATGCGACTTAGTGGTGGGCAGATCAGTTACATCCCAGACAGAGCTGTTCCTGCTGCAGTGGGGGAGTTGGAGACAAAAGCCAAGTAGGTGAAGCCTAAGACTTGGGAGACCTGTAACGTGACTGAAAAGTACATTTCTAGCTAGACTGCTTCTTGCCTAAGGCTAGCCTGGACGCCCCTTAGGCATTATGGGCTGTTGTAATGGTACACTGTAAGACGGCAAAGCGTCTTTGCAGAGAAGGATCTGGGGGTCCTGGTGTACACCAAATTGAACATGAGCCAGCGCTGTGCCCTTGCGACAAAGAAGGCTAACGGTGTCCTGGGCTGTTGGCAGCAGGTTGAGGGAGGGGATTCTTCCCCTCTACTCAGCACTGGTGGGGCCACACCTGGGCCAGTTCTGGTATGAGGCACTGACATACTGGAGAGTCCAGCAAAGGACTGCCTAGATGACTGAGGGACTGGAGCATCTCTCCTACAAGGAAGGGCTGAGAGAACTAGGACTGTTCAGCCTGGAGAAGAGCAGGCTCCGGGGAATCTTAATGTATATAAATACCTGAAGGGAGAGTGCAAAGAAGATGGAGCCAGGCTGTTTTTCAGTGGTGCTCAGTGACAGAGGCAACAAGCGCAAACTGAGACAGAGGAACTTCCCCCTGAATATCAGGAAACAGGTTTGTGTTTTTTACTCTGAGGCTGGCTGAGCACTGGCACGGTTTACCCAGAGATGGTGTGGAGATACTCAAAAGCAGTCTGGACGTGATCCTAGGCAGCCAGGTCTAGGTGACCTCCAGAGGTCCCTTCTAACCTCAGCCATTCTGTGGAGACTGCTGCTGTCCCAATGAGCTAAGTCTTTGTCAAAGTTGAACTTGGTGATGCTATTGTATAATGTGTAAACATAAATTTGTAAGGGTGTTGGTTTTTTTTTTTTGCAGGATTGTGTCTTCAGAAGGACTCTACTGTAAACTGATTTGGTGGTGGGGAGGATTTTGATTTAGTTCTATCTTGAATTTTGTGGCTGTATATCCAACTGTGTTGTTTTATAACCCAGCCATCAACTTGTTTGTACTTTTGCTGCTTCATGGAATCTTTTTAAGATAAAAAGATAGTGTGGCAGGCCACATTAAAAATGCGGGATGTAAAGAAATAATCCACGTTTTACAGGAGTCCCCTGTTTGCTGCCAGCTGAAAACAGTTTGGGGTAGATCCGTGGGTTTGGTGGCTAGTTTCTCTTTTTTGCGAAGTTGGCTCTAATTCTCCCCTTTAAATTTTGTTGTAAAGAAGAAAAAAAGCACACCATACAGTCTCGTGACCTTCCTTACAGCCTTTGTAGGGAGGCAAAGAGCTCATTTGTCAAATAAGCAATAGAATTGGCTTGACAGCCAGTCAGCCAGCCCTAAACAAAAACTGGGCAATTAGCATTCTGAGTCATGAACCTGAAAGCGAGCTGGGGGCAGCGTGGGGGCAATAAACTCAGAGGATGAATAAGCTATCTATACATGGATGCACTATATAACTCACAATCTCACAGTGTTTTCAGGCATGCTAGACTTGGGCTTGTACCGTTAAAAAGTTCATCCATGGCAGCTGATTTCTACCCCACTCTCCTCCAACAGTGACGTGAATGTTGTTAACATATAGAAAGTCTGTACTAAGCCCAAGCAACTTATATTACCTTTGCTCAGCAGCACGGAAAAATGTTTATATTTCACTGGCTTTTCTAAACCACTTCAAGTCATTTCTTCTGTTGGCTTTTTAAAAATAGACTTGTGTAAAATGTCTGTTTCCCTCCTTGGTTGTATTTATTAGATAATGTGGTCTTAAGGCTCATTGGGAGTGTTCACGGTATGATGCCAGTAGGTACGTGGGAAAATGAGCTTCCTTGTTCTCTCACTACCTGTGGGAGATTTATATTCGAAAGTAGTGAGACTAAGTGATGAATTGCTGTTATGTCTTCTGAGACCTTGTAAGACTGTCTATGGAGAGGGAGTTTTTAGAATGAAAGCACTGTGGGTTTGGGATATGCTTTAAGTAGGAGGTAGCAAGGGTAGAGATACTAAAGTGGGGGAAAAAAGATCTGCAGATCCTTGCAAAATTTGTCGATTAGACTTAGTTCATGTCTAAGGTTGACTGAAATGAGGAGGGAGAAGTGGAAGAGGTTGATTATGTGTGTAAGTTTAGTTTCTAGGCTTTTCTTGTTAAATTGGCATAACTGGAAGACACTCCAGCTCTGAAGTCAAGTTGTGCACACTTTGGAGTACCAGTATGGTACCTCTGTGTGCCAGCATAGTGTTTTTAGTGAGCAGGAGCTCTAAATCAGGATCTCAAGTTTTAAGCTAGATTTTTACATGCTGATATGAGGTGATTTAAGCCTGCTTTGGTGTTCTGGGTCAGGCTAAGCTCCCTGCATAGAAACAGTCACAATTTGTCAGACCAAGTCTGTCTCTTCTTGCCCTGAAAACTACACTTGTTTTCAGAAAAAAATTCTCACTACTTTTACTGTCCCAGTGAGTGGCAGGCATCAGGATGGAGTGATGCACTAGTCACTCCGTAATTGTTGTGCATACATGTCTGTCATACAGTTCTTCTAAAAACAGTTGCCAGCAAGGAAACCGTGTGCATGCCTGTGGGTCCTTATGGACTGAAGGATACCCAATGCATGTATCTTGCTTCGAAGCTGGGACTGTGTGTGTGGATTTTGCAGGACTGGGGAGGAGAAAGAGGGATACCAATATTTGCTATTACAATTAAGTTAAATTTCAGTACATAAAAGTGCATTATCTAAACAGGCTCTGAAATCATTTTACTAGCGTTCCAACACCTTGTAACTCATTAATCCTGAAAAATGTAAAAATCTGTATCTTGCATGTATTTATGCCAATAGTCACCTGTTGAACGCTGCTTTGTCATGACAAGAAGGCTAGGCTAGTTCTTCTCCTTCACCAGACACTTAAAAAATAAAGTTCTGCTGCTATTGCTCTTTGCTGTGGGAAATACAAAACCAACACAAATCAAGGAAATAAGGTTTGTAAACAACCCCCACCAGTTTCTTGCTTGCAAAGACAAAAATCTAGAGTGGAATTAATTTGGCATGTTTCAATGACTATTGTTCTGTTCCCCATGTTCAGTCAGATGGAGAAACTGCATGGATTTTATGACTGACGAAGTAGAAAGACAATTTTCCATTTTAAAATCACGCATTTGGAAATACTTTTATTTCCCATCATCTCCATGTGTTCCTGTTTGCCAGTGATTCTAAGTCCTGCAGACAAGCTTGTGGAAAGGCTAATCCCCTGTTCGCAAAGAAGTGTTTCAGAAGATCTTGAATTGCTGAATCTTTTTTCTGACCATCTGCTTTTTTTGTGCCCTCAGTAATGGGATTCTGCAGAGAGAAGGTTTTTTCCCATCTTGGAGGAAATGGAAAAAAAATATGTGATTTCTCTCATCCTACTGGTGTTGGTTTCTTCTTTTTACTTTTTAATAGCCCTCTGGGATGTTGTTTGTCATGGGGACTGTTCTGTTGAATCCTGTTTCTTTACATGCACTCCTGTGGGCCAAATTCCATGTACTTTCACAATGTATCATCTCTTTCTTCCCAAGGAGGATGATTCTCCTGAGTTGTCTCTAACTCAAGATGCCTTGAGTTTTCATTACTGGGTCAGTTTTTTAAAATTGCTGCTGCCCAGAGTGTTTTGACTTGGAGCCGTTCTCTCTTGCCCTACCGTATGCTGTTGTGCCTGTGAAATCAGCTGTTCCAGAGAGAAGCAACGGTCTGGCAAACTTCTGGGAACGTTCCTGAGAGCTGCACATGGCAGTGGATTCTTTACACTAACCACAACCGCAGATGGTCTGGAAATCTTGCTAGTTTGTTAATGCACTTGTGACTCTCTGCCATTTGGCCTCATTAGGAGCAAGGAACACAATCAGATTGTATAGGTGTGCCAATGCTGGGGTCCTGCTCCAACCAAGATGTCTGTGTTGGCATCCATACATTTTAGGGAAATTGAAGTCACTTTCTGGGTTCAGCACGCAAAGACTCACTGCTAAATGCAAAAAAGTGTGGACAAATAGAAGAGGAGAAGGTGTTGAAGACCTAGCTTGCGCACACTACGTTTTGAAAGGTTAGAGTTTTCTTCAGTCTAGTTCTAGTGTGATCTCATGGTCCGAATGCCTGCTAGTTGGAGCATGAGTTATGTTCCAGGGACACATTGTCATTTGTGAGTAATCTAGTCTGTGTGCTCTGAGACTGTCCCCTGGTGTGAACTGCAGCATAGCTTGTGTGTGATCCATTTAAATGGACTTCTGTATCTGACCTGAAATGGTAACATAGGTGTGCACCAAAGGTGGGAGCTGGAGTCCGATCTGTCTCTGTAAAGTGGTACAAATTGTCCTGATGATTTAAAGAGTACAAGATGGAGGAGTGAGGGGTGCACCCTTACTGCTGTTCTAAGTGACTGTTGCTCTCTTATTCTTTATTAATGGGGTAAAGGCAAGCAGTTGTGCAACTATACTATCAGGAGGGACCTTCTCGAGTTACTATCTTCAAGACAAGTGTTTTTCCTTTGCCTTGTTCTCCCTTGAGCTATGCATGAGATCCAGCTTGTAGGGTGGAGGGCTCCAGGCTTCGGACAAAACCAGCATGGCAACAGAGGATCTGTCACTGGATTTGGGCATCTGTCATAGACTGTTTTTCTGTCTATGCTCACATAGCATAAGGCAAAGATGCCAGTTCTGCAGGAGCCTCTGGTGGACCTGGCTTGGTCATCTTATGTTTCTTGGTGTGGCAGAAGATACCATCAGTGCTTCTCCCCCCCCCCCCCCCCCGCCCAGCTTTTGTTGGAGAAAAGAGCAGTTTCTCTTGTTTCAGTTGATTTCCTCTCCTGAATTCGGGGCGGGGTAGGAATATGAGGTCAGTCTTTCTTGTTCTGTGCCTACATCATTGTATCCTGCTGATTGAAGCAAAGTACGTTTCACAAATAAAGGAACTTTTTTCATAACTTCACCATTATTGATTCTAGTTCAATTATGGATGATGGCTTTTGTTGCTTCACTACCCCAAACAAATTTTGACTTGTGGTGGATTAAAAGGTTAAATAATAACCCAGGCACTGTAACGTATGGCAGGCAATTGAGGGTCGGGGAACAGAGCAAACAGATGAGCTGGAGATCAGCCAGGGAACACGTCCTACTGGCTCTCCTTGTGGGACTACAGCAGAGCCCTGGATTGACACCATCGTGAGAAGAAAAGTATTAGAGTATGTAGCTTTGCACAAAGTATTTACTGTCAAATAAAGATTACGCACATACCTAAACTACCAAGAAGGTGATGAGCGTGTACCCCAGAAAAATAACCATACTTCCAAAATGAGAATGTGGGTTTACGAAAAAAAAAACTATTTCCTCCTTTCAGATGCTAAAGCGTCAGTAGTACTTGCAACTATTTAACAGTAAAGGTTGGAGTGGACTACTGCAGTAGTGTTGGTGAGAAAAATACTTTGCGTTTGTAGAAAGCCTGACTTCAGAGGATTTACAGGTGGTTTGTTTAGGTCTTGCATTGATGCAAGAGATCAGTCAACATGCAGTCACTGTATATTCTGTGACTGACTGGTCAACCTTGAGGATTCAGAGCATGTCACTGGAGGATGCAGTGTTAGAATATGAGATTCCTGGTCCTCTGCTCAAGCACCTCTGGAAACATTTCCTTCTACTTTTGGCTAAAGATGGGATGAAGACAGAATTGGTCACTACCAGGCATTTGTATGTGTCTGCCAGACTTCCCCAGAAATAGCGATTACAGCCAAAAAATACTGAATACTGTAGTGGTAGGTATTACAGAAACTTCTGCTGGATAGGAAAAGTATGTGTCTATAGGACTGTACGTTTAGTTCTTCTTAACAGTATAAAGCGAGATAATATTCCCTGGTCATTGCCCTGCTGCTTGAAGCAAAATACGCTTTCTTTGAAGTATTGCACCACTGCCTCTTCAGAGAGCTTATTTGTAAGTGTCCAGCAAAAAACAAGACTGGAAAACGATATTTGAGCAGACTACCGTCTGTCAGACTGCCTCTGTGCATCTCTAGCTGAAACCACAGAGCATTGTTTGTGTTTATCGTTCCTGCTGCTAGCTATTGTTTTACTGCCAAAGCCTCTCTGAAGATGGTATATCCTGACATGTCTCTCCAGAATGCTGATAACTTGGGATTCGTATGCAGAGAGCACACAAGTGAGAATTACACAGTATCTGCTTTATGCTGGGAGGATGTATTATTTGGGGTTTATCCAAGCTAGGCTTATGATTGCCATATGTGGGCTAGCAAAAGGTGCACATAAAGGTGCTTTCCAAGGACAGGAAACAATGGGAGACGAAGCCTGTGCTGTTCTATTTCAGTACATGTCCCATCATAGCCACCCTGAGGAGCTGGACCCTGGAGACCAGAGATTAGGTGAGTGACTTTTGCCTGGTGACCGGCCAACAGGTGACATGCCAGGGTGCTCAGAGCCTGGCAGTGCTAGAAAATCAAGTAAGATGGGAAAGGACATGATCAGAAAGGCAATGTACAGCAGGTTCACTAAATTTTATTGTCATTGACTTTAATGGGAGTGTGACAAAAAGCAAAGTGGTGTATTTCTTCTCTCTAACGCTTCTTTGTTATGGCTAGCTTCTCTAAGAGCACTGTCCACAAATGTTAGCTGAATTTCACTTGGATTTCTTGTGTCATTTGAAATGTACGACTTTCATATGGAAAGAACTTGATTAAACATAGTAATTTGCTGTGGGGTTTTGTTTGCTTGTTTTAAAGAAAGACAAAGTGTCTTATGATGAGAGACCTAAATGACTCTTCATCTTCTTGAATTTTTTGTCTGAAGTAAAATAATTATAATACAAAGGCAACATCCTTTCTCCAGTGACTGTTTTCTCACTGTCCATTAATTCCAAAATCAGCTAATGTTAAAAGAAATGAGTAGTAACGTTTGCTTTAAGGCAGAATTTCTTCTCATCTTATGGTAACTGTATACGCATAGAGGGGAAACATAGAAAGAACATAAAAACTTTGTGAAGAAGTCGTTTTAGCAGTCTTTTCTGTTGGGGCAGAGCTCATGTTTCTTGACTTGTGTATGGCCAAGGCCATTACTTTTTCAAAGGCTTGTATGTTATTGGATTATACTGTTTATTTTGCTTGTCAATCTTAGCAAGAAAGTTATATCTTTGATTTCTTTTCGATGACAAATGTAATGAAGCAGAAGTAGTGGAAAACTTCTGCACAAGTTTGATTTAAGTGTTAATGTCGGATAAGTGTTTATTTCAGCCTGGCTTGTACCATCTCATCACTAGTTAGAAAAAGGGACGTGCCAACTGGTCTGCTTTGATAGCAATACTGGCGCAGAGCGGTGTTGTGTTATATCATGTCTTATGTCTATTTTTCTCTTTTTAATTAATGACAGTAAAACTAGTACTATATGTAGTGTAGGAGGAAAGTGATGAATGTGATTTTTTTTTTATTATTGATTCTTTTTCATCCCTCTCTGTCAGGCAATAGCCTGCTGTAGTAGGAGGGAGATGAATCCAGTTTTAGAATGTCATTCGTGCTGTTGGTTTATTGTTCGTACTTTAGGATTGGGTTGTAGTCAGGTTTTTCTTTTGCTTTTAGCATGCTGGCCTTTTCCAAGGCTCCTTGCTGTGTGCATTGGAGAAATTCATGTATATATTTTATCCAGTCAATGTCAGTTTTGCTTGGGAAACTATGGAAGTGGTCGCAGACTATGTGGGAGTACTGTATTAGAGATGCTGGTTACATGGCTATTTATATGTTCTGAGTGGTCCAAATTGAGTATACTTAAAAAAAAAAATATTCCCAAATCTAAAGCCACAGTTGTGAACAGTCATCTGTTAACAATGTTACTAACAACTTTTGGAAATGAGGTTTTGGAAACTTCCTTCAAAATTGTTGCTGTTTTGGGACTATTTCAAAGCAGCAAAGGGGATATGAACAGAGAAAAGGAAAAGGATGAAGAACTTAATAATTCTGCAAATAAGGAGCTATAGAGGTAAAGGTCTATATTGTTGTTTTTCAAGCCACAGCTTCCTTCAGGAGTTAGTAGGGAAGGCAGTTGTCCAAAGCATTCAGCCTGGGTTCAGGCTTCTTTGAGGAAACACATGGAGAAATGTCTGGTACAGCACCATGCTTTGCATTGACCTGCAGCACTGGGGAGGTGAATGAAGAGATAGTGACACACCAGCTTTTTTGCTGCCAAAAGGCTTTAAGAAACTGTAACTGTTCTTGTGCAAACTCACTGGCATAAGGAAGGCTTTGTACTTGCTTCTTGCTATGACCCATCTGTTCAACATCAGCCAAACTCTGGTTAAAATGTGTTCAAAAAACCAAAATAGTTCCTCAGGATTACTGGCGTCACAACCCAAGCTCTGCTTCGAAGGGGGCAATGGCATTACAAGCAGACTGTGCTGACTGTCATACCTAAAACACAGCATATGTGGTTTACCATATGATAGGTCTAACCCAAGTTAGTGCAAACCATCTTCCAAGGCAAATCCTTAAACTGCCTTATGTCCTACTAAAAGACCTAACATTATTTTCAGATTCTTCCCGCTAACTGATTAGTCAGTAACTGTACTTTATATAGTGAGTTTTTGGCACTGTATGTGCCTGAAGTTGAATTGAGCAGGTACCTAGTTTGTCAAAATTTGGTGTAAAATTCATTGTTGCAAGATGCTGCAACCTAGGAACTCACTTCTAATTTCTGTCAGTTGTTGTAAGTACTGAGCATAAATGCTGAATTCAAGGTGCTGTTCTTGCTACTGACTATATTTTCTATCATAACATCTGTAACTGTGTGCTTACATTAATGATGTATATGATACCTAAAATACATCTCAGCATGGGTGATAAGATGAGTTAAGTTTTGTTCAAATATCTATTATGACGTTCTGGCAGGCTAATTCTCATAGCTACGGAAGCAGCAAAATGCCCTCTGGGTTTCTCGCAGAGGACTCTAGAAGCATGTTTTGTTGTTCATTCCACATGTTGATTCAGAAATACTGTACATAATGGCCCTTTTAATCTCTTTTTGAATGCAAAGATTTTCTTAATTGTCTTTTCTTGCTGTACTGCAGAACGTCTGTTTGCTGTAGTCTTCTACCTTTTTAAAAAAGAAAAATGCAAGCAGAATTTGTACAACTGAAAGCTGAACGTACATGTTATCCCTTGGCATTGTTTCTTTCCCAGGGAGTGCTGTCCAATATCTCCTCCATCACCGACCTGGGAGGCTTTGATCCAGTTTGGCTCTTCCTAGTGGTAGGAGGAGTTATGTTCATTTTGGGATTTGCAGGATGCATTGGAGCTTTACGAGAAAATACCTTTCTTCTCAAATTTGTAAGTAGCCTTTGCAACTGTGGCATTCATCAGTCACATAGCATAAGTCATGTTCTCTGTTTCTACTTAACTGTGTAAAGATTTTAAAGTGTCTTTTGGGGAGCGGAAGGTGTTATCTGATGCGAGGGTACTGTTCTGTGCATCGCTTTTGCTTAACTGTTTAACGCTTTACAGCTCTTGAGTCTCTGGTGCTTACTGTTGTTTTTTTTAAGATTCAAAACTATTGATGGTAAGAATTATAACATGGAACTACTGCATTTCATATGGATATAGCCTAACATTTTGCTTTCCTGTCATGAAAAGAGAGAAACTTCTGCTAAGAATCTGCATGTTGAACTTCGAGTCCGTAACAGGCTGCCTATGAAATATGAGGAATGTAGATACACCACTGAACGTGGCCCGTGTGGTTTCTGCTGTGCAAGTGCCCCTCATGGTACAGAGGAGATAGGACCGTTACGAGGGGTTGCTTGCTGATACCCTCAGTTCTGTACTGTTTAGCTAATCTGAAAAGGCTTCATTGCATACTGTCAGTGCTGGGGCCTGAGCAGGAGAAAGGGAGGAGAATGTCCCCAGGACAGGTAAAGAAAATAGAAATTGTCATCTTGAACTCTGGGCTGGACTGTTAGGTGGGGAAGGAGCTGCTGATATACAAACATACCTCAGTGTTCAAAACTCCCTTAGCTAAGTAGGCTGGTTCTGTTTTTTGAAAGCCCTCCTCCTGTGAGCTTTGAAAATGAGGATAACAGTACCATGTTCTATTTTAGATAAATTTAAGATTTATAATAAAAATTAAAGATTCTTTCCTCCATCTCTCCAACTTCCAGAGGTGGGCACAGCCTGGGTAGTAGTGGTGTCTTCAGAACCATTATTTGTTAATGTATACATGAAAAGGCTTCCAGTGAAACAACTGCCTTCAAGTGACCTATTTGGCTCCCACAGACCTGTTGTATAAGGGGAGGAGGCAGTTGAGAGTTACAGTTGAGGCGTTTATAAAGCAGCTTGGAATAGTTCTAGCTTGCTCTTGTCTTGCTTAAAAAAAAAAAGAGAGAGAGGGAAGGGAGCTATTGTAACACTTTTTATTTCCTCTTCTTCCTTGCTTCTCTTAGCTTGCCTAAAATGAACCCATCTGCTGTACCAGAAATAGCTTCCTATACAGCAGCTGCAAGAGAAATTAAAAATGCATCTGAACAAACACAGAGAGCATATTAAAATGAAACTCAAAGGCGCAGTTGCAAAAAGGATGGACTTCCAGTATATGAGGACCCCTGTGTTTTAAAACAGTGTGGACTCAGTAGAGATGCTTAGAGAGAGTGGCAGATCGTTAGTAATGCCTTTGGCATCCATTGCATTTGCATTAATCATAGCAGCCTCATTTGGTTTTAATGTGGATGTGAGTCATTCCACAGACATTCTGCTCCAACTTAGTCATTAATTAATTTCTGCTGTTACCAATTTTTGCTTTGTCTGCTTAACCAAAGCTTTACCAATGAGGTAGTCTAAAGGAAGAGTCCCTTGGAAAGCATTTCATTGGCACTATTGGTTGTTTATGCCTTTAGAAGTGTGAGTGCCTACCTAGAAATTTAAATTGAGTTTTTGGAGGGCCCTAGAGGTGGTGAGTAGCCGCCTCTATTGAAATTTACAGTGAATTCTCTTGGACCTCTTTGAAAATCCCAGTGAAATGTCCAAAGTTTGAATTTTTTTGGCATTTTTATTATTTATTAGAATAGAATTAAGATTCCTGTACTACAGCTATAATTAAAAATGGTGTATTTTTAATTTAAGATTTCCTGTGTGCTGGAATAGCTTGAACTTGCACTGAAACAGATAAAGCCCTGACACTGGACATAACTGTGAGCCTTGAAAAATAAGTTTTTGGTCATAAAATGATTGACAGCTTTTTATTTTTCTTTATAGTTTTCGGTGTTTCTTGGAATTATTTTCTTCTTGGAGCTCACTGCTGGTGTTCTAGCATTTGTTTTCAAAGACTGGATAAAGGACCAGCTGTATTTCTTTATAAACAACAACATCAGAGCATACCGAGATGACATTGATTTGCAAAACCTCATAGACTTCACACAGGAATATGTAAGTTGGACTATGTTTGTTTTTTGTAAAGTTTACTTTAAAGAAATACCTACTATATTTTTTACTTCCCATCTATTTGGTTTCTTCAAGGAACAACAGAAATATTCTAGCATATAATACTCTTGAATATATGGATATGTGTATTTCTCTTTACAGAACTTCTGCAAACACAGAGCACCTGTGAAAAGTGGCTTATTTGTAGATGTATGACTGAGCAAAGCAAAACAAAGTGGAGAGTTAGGGTGACTTATTCTTGAAGACTTAGAGATAGTGTGTCAAATCTACAAGTTAACCATCAGTGTCTTGTGTTCAGCTTTTTGAGGCATATTCCATACGTGTATGAAGGTATTTTAGGGTTCTTGGGGGGTGGGAGAGCTGTTCAAAATATTTTAGTGTAGGAGCTATCATATCTGTTTTTTTTAAAAAAATAATCTTTTTCTAAGCTTAATTTGGTTCTGAGATGAATATTGGTGTAGTTTTAGCAATGTTAGATGTGCTACACCACACTGCAGAGTGGCAGAGATGTTTAGCTGGTCTGAGTGAAACTACAATGTTACTTCTTTTTAAGTAGACTTAATGCAATCAGCCTAATGAAGTGGGCAACTCAGAGTTCTCATAGGAAATCTCTCAATGATGCTACATCAGCACTTGGGAGGGAAGGGTGAAGCCAGAGATGCACATGCTTATGTGGGTTAAGCTCTGTAATTTATCAGAAGAGTATCTGTAAAGGAGTCCTGCACTGACTTTTGCATACAAGTTATTTTGCCAGTACCTTCTTGCTCCAGTACTCAATTCTGGCCTGTATCGATGGGCTTCTCTTTGAATTTGTCCGTGTGTAGCTAACAGGATTAGGTTTGGCGGAAATCATGTTGACTAACTTTTGTACACCCTGCAATTAAAGTAATTTCATTCAATGTTTGATGTGCCTCTGTATGCCTTGGGGAAAAAATGGCAAGTGAGTAAGTAACAGGATGTGGATCCTTGCACTGATTTAAATCTTGCCCAGTTGAGAGGAGGTCAGAGGTCACCACAGTCTGAAAGCAGCGGTCCATTTGTATGCAACCAAAAGGCTACAGTCCAGTTTTGCAGACACTACGTAAAACTTGCTATCCTAACTGGATTAGCAAGCTTAGCAGCTAAGTCGGGGACAGCATGAGTCTGGAGAGAAAGCTACTTTTTCAGCTAGTTGAGATAATGCTTGAAGATAACATGTTCAGGTATTGCAGAGGGAACTACATCTAGAAAAAATGAATTGCCATTCCAGAGATCTTAAAAATATGGTTTGCTTGGGGGGGTTAATTTTTTTTTTATGTTGACATAGATGGGTTCATTGGGCTAGCTCGCTAAATGCTGTAAACCATAAGTGCTCCACTGATCTCCAGTCCATTCCTTGTATGTTCGGCAAGTTTTACCAATTCTTTGTGTGTTCAGCATGTTTTGCCAGAGACTAAACCTACCATTTGGCATATTTACTTTTTGAAGGAGTCTGCCTGACTTCAGTAAAGATGTTATGTGCAATGTGTGATGCTCAGGAGATGAGGTGTTCATACTCTCTGATGTACAGCCAGGCGAAGATTTCCCCAAACTGACAAAAGGGGTAGCTATACCAGTGTAGCCCTCGGAGCGGATTAGTTTTGTTGAGAACCTGGGGCACGTTAGACTGGACAGAATAGCATACTCTTGGCTCTACTATCACTGGGTCCTGAGCTTGTAGGCCTCTGCAACTCTGGTGTTGTGTAGGCTTACCAGCTCACTCCATGGATTTCTCTCCAGAGAGCTGCATTGCAGGGTGTGAATGTGACTTTAATCACATGATAATTTTAGAACAACTTACAGGTTTGGAGTGGTCTGTCTTTTTTTTTTTTTAAAAAAAAACAAACCAAGCCAGCTTCAATGAAATTGAGGGAATCTCAGACTTTGTTTTGAAAGCTAGAAAGAAACTGGCAGCCATGATGCGTGTTACTAATGCTGAGATTTGTTCTGAAGGTCACGAAGCAATCCTTTCTTTTGTTCTAGTGGCAGTGCTGTGGGGCTTTTGGAGCTGATGACTGGAACCTTAATATTTACTTCAATTGCACAGATTCCAACGCAAGTCGGGAGCGCTGTGGTGTGCCGTTCTCTTGCTGCACTAAAGACCCTGCTGTAAGTGACAGTCAAGACGGTAGGATGGGTCTGCTGTTCCAATTTTAAATCGCTCTATAAGACTTCTTTTCCTGGAAGTCATCCATGATGACTTTCAATTGAATATCATCAGGATATTTTGTTCTTTGCCTTCAAGAACAGCAACTCTAAGATCAGACACTAAAGCAGGTATTACTCATTATTCAATGCAGTATCCAGAAGCTGCAGCCAGTTTGACCCAGTTTGTGCTAGGTATGGTAATGAATGACAGTCTGTGCCCTGAGGAACTGACATATGTTTGCATTAGAATCTTGAGTTGAGTATGGACATCTTTACACGCTCTTTTTTTTCCCTTTAAAATTACTACTAGTCCTACAGTCACCTGAGATCAGAATTGAAAGGTCAGAAATTGTTTGAGCAAACAGCTTTTTTGGTAAATTTTCATGTCTTTTAAAATAAGTTATAGTTCTGGATCATCAAGCAGAAAATGTTGGAGCCATGCATTGCTAGTACAGACATGATGAAGACTGAAGGGTGAAGTGCAGAGTAGCAGTTCACAGATAGTGGAAGGCTTGGAATAGGGATAGATGTGTGCATGGAAACTGTTAATGTGGCTAACACTGCATACATTTGACTTTCATAGAGCTTAAAAGAAGCAGCCCGTGAGTGCTTGTATTATCTAGTAGTTCAGCTGTGGCTTTTTCTCCACCTGGAATGACTTACAGTTCCTTGAACATACGAGTCTGTAGCACTGAGTACAGTTAGGCAAGTTGCCATCAGGCACCTCAGGTGCTTCCTGCCTTGTTAATGCAAGGCAGTCGCTGCTCCCGGCACCCAGTCACTCCTGCTGCTCTCCCCGTCTCCTGGTAAGGCACTGCCACTTGCACAAGCTGCGTTCTAGTTCCTCTGCAGTGAACATGTCTTCACAGTAGTTTGAATCTTTCTCACAGACATCACTGAAAATGTTTTAATGAAATATTAAAACAAAATGTAGGTTGGGCTCAAGCATTACATTATACTTAGGATTCCCCCTACTGTTTGCCTGTCTGCCTGCCCACCCACCCACCCACACAGAGAGGTCATCACAACCCAGTTTTAGAAATATGGTTGTTATAAAACTGAACCAGTGACAGCAGTACAAGGTAATCCTATAAATACATAATCCTTGCTAAAGTTATCTCTCGGTCTCTGTATATGGTTATGCAGTTTCTTAGGCAGTGATGCAGCAACCAGAAATTTAAAGATAAGTCTCATTCTTGTTCATTGTAGGGAAGCAATGCACTTAATTGCCTTTATTTTAAAGACTAAAAAAAAGAAATATTTCTAAAAATATTAGGAGTCATCCATATGATGGCTATAATTGTAACCAAGCTGTGACTAGTTCAGTTGCAGTGATAAACACAGATTTATTCTGTGGGAAAGCAGATTTGTCTCTTTTGGCATTAGGATGCAGTGTTGGACTGATGCAAAAAGTTATGTGGATGCTTATTGAACAGGACTTACTTTTAGTTTAGCTTGAATCCGGAAGTGGTAAGTTTACGGTAGACCAAAATAAGTCTCCTGTAAAACGAATTTGGACTCCTGTAGTTCACTTTGCTGTAGTTTAGCAGGTTGAAACGTTCCAAATTCCTCTACAGGCAAGACCTAGAAAAGTGGATTTATTTCCATTTCATTTTTCACACTTTCAGTTAACAAATGCCAAGGCTAAAAGCAGAAGACACTTGATGATAAAGCAAATAGGCCTTCAGTACAAAGAAGAAAGCTTAAAATCCCTCTATTCGAATATTTTCTACTTTTATAGCCTTGAACTGTGCGGCACTATTATGTTTTAGATCTTGGAACAGAAGCATTCATCTCACTAAAACATACAAATTGCTCAAATCTTAAAGGTCCATTGAGGGAATTCAACTTGGGCGACTGCCAGGATGCGACCTGTTGATGTACTTCCTGCAAAATGAGGAAACACTTAGAGGAGCTTTAACTGCTGATAGGAGATAGCTTTTTCCGTATGGCTGCTTTTTAAGATCTGTTTCTCTGCTGGCTGCCTTTCTCACTTCCCACAATTTGATGAACTTGTGATGTTCAGTACACCTAGCTAGGATTGGCTGACTTTTCTCACTTCCTTCAGTCATTCCTTCTTCTGCTTAGCTCTTATTGTATGAGCCAATAACTTAATATTTCACTGCCGTTGTGGCTGACACCAAAAGTAGTTGCTTCATTTTATTGCCCTGAAATAACTCTGTATGCAGAGTAAATGCAGCTTCAGCTTCCAATGTGTAGCATTTATTCACTAGGAAAAGTCTGCGATAGCCTATTTTATTACCTGTGCTTCGAGAGTACTAAAGCAGAGGCAGTACAAAAAAAAACCCCTCCTTTCCCATTGGTATCAAGCTCCTGTAAGAAAGAATAGATGGTAAGAACACATTACCCCATCTCTTCTTTTCCCCCTCTAGTTTTTGGAAAGGAACTAGGTACTGTATATATTTCTACAGACATCCACAGTAAGAACTTGCAGCTTCTGCAACAGTCCTGCCCCTTCTCACCCCTTCACGCGGCACAGACCGAACCCTGAAGATGTTAACGGTAGTCTTGGCATATTTTTCAACGTAGACAAAACCTTTTCAGCAGAAGGTTCTTTCACTTAAAATAGATGTTCCCTTATCCCTTTACTTTGACTTCTGAATGCTTGCATCTGGAGCATGGAGTTTACCTAGGTGAAGGGGTCGGTTTTCCCAGCTTGCTGCCTCCAGAGCTGAAAATATTTTTTGACCATGTGCTTTTGTTTGTTGTGAATAATTAATAGCACTGAATGGAAGATGAAGGGGGTTTTTAAAAGCAGTATGGTAACCAAAGTTAGAGTGATTGTCTTATTACATACAGGACCAACTCTGGGGAGCTGGGAGAGGGTGTTTGTGAGACACTTGACTGATTGCCTCTCTTCTGTCTCTGTCTCCCTCCTAGGAAGATGTTATTAATACTCAGTGTGGCTACGATGCAAGACAAAAACCAGTAAGCATTTTTTTTTTTTTAAAATGTGGTATCTTAAGGATCTGAATCCCTCTTGCAAGAGCAGGTTATTTTACTAATGAGATAGTTGGATGTAATTATCTCTGTTTTCTTCCCTCTTCTCCTTGGCAGGAAGTTGATCAGCAGATTGTTATCTACACTAAAGGCTGTGTCCCTCAGTTTGAGAAATGGTTGCAGGACAATCTTACCATAGTTGCCGGTATATTCATTGGGATAGCATTACTGCAGGTAAACATCGCGTTCCCTATAATGAGTTACACAGAAGAACAACAGATAAATAGAATATATGAGGGGGGAACTGTATACGAGAACTGGAAATGCAGTGACAGTTGCACTTAGAAATATAATGTCTGCAGGTTTTAGTGAGGGGAGTTAAATACATGAGACTTTCTTTGTGTTAAAGAGCATTTAATTTTAATCTGTAGGGATGCAGTTTTTTCTTTTCAGCTGTCTGCAGGTCAAAACTAACACTCTGTGAGATAAAGATTAGATAGAGATTTTAAAGCCTGTACAGACCTACTGTTTCTGATGGTGCTTAAATGAGCAGTGAAATGAGCCTTTACAGTTGCTTATGTGAAACAAGTGTAGAACTGTTCAATTTCCCGGAACCCAGTGGCACTATAAAAATACTGGGGTTACAGGAGATTTTTGATTTTCTTCCTTCTTCCAACACTTACTGTTAATTTGGGTTCTATCTTTCTGTTGCTTTTTTTCATGTCAAAGTTCTGTATAACCTAAGGAGTTTGCCTGTGTGAAAAGAGTTGTCTGATGCTCCAAATGAATAAACTGTTGTCTCTTCCAGATATTTGGGATATGCTTAGCCCAGAATTTGGTTAGTGACATTGAGGCTGTCAGAGCCAGCTGGTAAAACTGCTGAAGTAACCACAAGAAGACACTGGACAACCGAAACCCTCTGAAACCTCCAGTGTGTCGCTCCGACACCAAGCTGTATGGACATGGGTGACAGGGAAGCCTTCTCTCCCAAGTAGTCTCAAGTCTAAGTTCCTGATATTGCAGTGAACTCGTGTTTCTTTGGGGTGGGGGAGAGAAGAGTGGGCTATTTAAAATCTGCTGCTCACTGACAATTTTTTTTTCTTTTAAACCACCAGTTTGAAAGCTATTGAGCCGTGAATCTCTACTGTATTCTTGATCCTGAGTAACAAGTGGACACTTTTTTAAAATTCGTGTATTTAGTGGGACAGAGTTGCATCGTTGTAGTCTGTGGATATGCTGTTGATTCTTCGTGTCATGAGCTCTTCAATAGCTGCCAAATATTCCTGAGATGGTCTCTCTCCTCACCACTCTGTAAAGGAACAATCTTCTTGTTTTCACAGCTAAACATAGCTACAGGCCTAAACCCATCAAGCAGGAAGCAACTTTCTATGCATCTATTGTACAGTAAAAGAAATTGTTTTTAGAACAAGGGGAAATTTTTTTTACGCAAGCTTCAAACCATCTCCCTGTAGTACTTTGAGGTTGGAATCGGCAAGCTCACAGGGAGAATTGCCTAATTTTATCAACATCTTTCTTCCTTCTCCACCCTTGTAGGAAGGGAAAGGAGTTTTATATTTGACAAACAAGGGTCGTAGCGCCTTTGGCTGCTGCCATACCTTAGGACGTCAGTCTCTTAAGGCAAGGATGGGATATAACTGTATAAATGTATGAAAGCAGTGTGGATGTTGGGTCCAAGTGAATAATATTATTCAAAGAATGAATTATATATTAACTTAAAAAAAATCAAAACATATGTATCTGATATGGCTAAATCTTTTGTTTCTCTGGAATTTAGTGTAACCTAATGTATTTAGGGATCTCACTAATATTACTGCATTGATATACTTGTGCAAAACTTCTTTTAAGATAATTCCTTGGTCTGTTCCTAGCTGAGGCTTTGGTCTTTCTTTTTTCTTTGATTCTTTTTACTTGCATGAGCTGTGGAGTAAGAATCTGTGACACTCCAGTGCTTTAAATCTGTGCATATGTTTTAATACAGTCTAATCCAAACTTATATATTGGTAAGTGCATGTGATTATGGAAAGATCACATCCCATTCCCTTGGAAGTTGGAGAGAACAGCTTTTGCCAGAGTAAATGCTTACCTCCAGTGAACAAATCCTTGCTATGGAGATGTGTCTCCCTTTGTTGCTCTAAATGCAACAAAAAGCTTTCTTGAAGCAATGGAATACAAGTTTTAAAATAAAAGCGTGTATTAGAATCAACCAAGACAGACTCTCTTGAATTGAACAAAAGAGAGTAGAATTTGGAATAAAGCACAAATAGTGGAAGAAGAATTACGTCAGACTCCATCCAGCTTAAAGTTTTGATTCTTTCTTCTTCACTAATAATAGTGAACTTACAAACCTGACTGTGGCTTGGGTAGTTTTATTGCACTTTGTATAAATTTAACTTCTTGTATGACCCTTCTCAGTATCTGCAGAACCTGTCCTGAAAGCTGTGAGCTCTTGACTCCTGCTTTGGTCAGAGTGGCAAAGGGTGTGTAGCATCTCTTTGTAAGAGCTTAGCATCTTTCTGAGATGAGTTTCCTAAAATGAAGTACGTGGAGTAGAAGAGATGAATGCATTGCTTTCAAAGCTTCCCTGTTCTGGGGGATGGATAGAAGGCTGGTCTGATGACCTATTAAGGTCCTTTCTGGTCCTGTGACTTTTAAACATGGGAGTATATGTGCCCTTGCATATTTTGCCTTTCTGTGCTTTAGTCAGCAGTGTTTTTTTTTTTCCCCTTTGAAGACTGGTGGTAGGCACACCGGCACTCCACAGATGCCTCAGACAGTCGTCTTGTCCTCCTGTCTTTGAGCATTACCTCATCCTCTTCTGGTTAACTCCCACTGACTGGCTCTGAATCAGGCAGCCTCCGTATCCTTTGGTATCTGCTGTTAAAGGCCAGCCATGACTCAGAGTAAATTTTTTTTTTAAAGCCTTTGAAAGCAATTATAACTCACTGTCCTTAATAAAGTTGGTTCCACCTCACCACAGTGTTATGTTTTTCTTAGCCACTCCTCAACTTGAGGAGTTACTGGTGTTTGTTTCCCCCCAAAAGGGAGGGACACACCGTTTTGCCTGATAGCAGCAGGACAGACAGATCATCAGCACCAGTGTTGCTGCACTGAGACAAAATGGTGCGGGGAGAAATCAGGGAAGCGTGGCCAAGGAAGTAACCCCTCCACCCCAGAGCCTTGATTGTGACCCAGCGCTTTGGTTTGGAGACAAAGAAAGAAAGAGCCTACGTTACAGAAACATTCCTTGTTGCCACTGATCTAGAACACTGTTGCTGCTGTGTGCTTCTGAAGACAACTTCATTCTACTTGAATTTCTGCAGTTGTACTGTATTGGCCTTCTGTCTTGTCATGCTGTTCTCTGAGTTCCAGTCTGCTGGATGTGCTGTTGGCAGTGTCAGACTGATAGGAAGATAAACGCTCTGAGGTGAGCAAATCTTGTTCTCACTACTTGCACGTGTATACACAAATGTGCAACACTTCTGCTGAGTCCCAGAATGACTGACTGTTCTTATAAAAACCACTAAATAACTTATTTTTCTAGAGCTTGTCTTTATTGCTGCAGATGCTGATCCTCCCCGCTTCCCCACTCCCAAGAGATGCTCTTGTTTTCCTCATTTTTGCAGTTGTTTGCTGGATGCATACTGAATGTTCAGGATTAGCTGTCTATATTGCACATATAAATCCCACAATTTTTGTCTACAGATCAGGTAAGATGTCCTAGAAATGCCCCATCAGCAACTACTCGGCATCTTAGGTGTCCAGTTTGGAAAGCTTGTGGGAGGCCTTGGAAATCAATCTGTTCTTGTCAGAGCCTGCCAAGTGCAAGCAAGCTTTCTTCCAGAAAACTTTGCGAAAACTTCAGGTGAGCTGCAACTAGAGCAGAACTGCTGGCTACACGGGCTCATTTTCTAAAGCAATAAGATATGGTAGGTGGTATGACTTCTGGGCAGTTTCTAGCCTGCCTGGTGTGGTGGTGGGGTAGATGTGAGTTCAGAGGTCAGTCTAATTAATGTGCAGTAGTTGTTCAGAAATTTGTTGTCAGGCTTATGGCCCTTGTGGAGTGTGAAACAGCTCTGTTTGGGTGGTTCGTATGGGATGGTGGTGGTGCTAACGAGAGGTCTGGTAGCTTCAGCAGTAGCCTGACTTTAAAGCTGTTTCCAAATTCCCCACTGAGCCCTGCCGAAGGGCATCACAGTCCTTGCTCCTCTGCTTTTTAAATACTCTCCATATTCACAGGCCTTTCTGTTGTTGATCTTGCTCTTTTTTTTTTGAGTTTTTTTGTTACTAATAGCCTAATGGACAAATGTTTGATTTGTCTCTGTGTGTCTGTTTCAATAGCAGTAGGATCTCTTTGCTTCAAAATCCATAATTTTGATTGTGCTCCTTAGAGTTTGAAGCTGTGGAGATGCTTGCTCAAGTGTACTCTGTCCTGAAAGCCTTTTCCTCTCCCCTTTGAGAGAGATGCTAATTGTAGTTCCGGTGTGTAAATAGTGTTTGAAATGTAAATAGTAGCATGCAGATTAAATGATTCTTGCACATGACTGCTTTTCACCCTACAAGTGTTTATTATAGATGTGAAAGGTGTCCACCATGAGAGTTTGCTGATGAAAACCAAGCGGTCAGTCAGGTGTTACCTCTTCGGGCGGCGAGGTGAGAGTACTTACATCACCTGTCCTCTGGTGTCACCCAGTGGGTGTGCAGCGGGCACCCGAGGGAGGGCAGGCCCTGTCCCGGCTGTCCGGGCTCTGGTTAGTAGCAGGACCTCCCTTGCCTTTTCCCTTTGCTGCTTGGCATTAGAAGAGGGTTAGACTGTAGAATGGAGGGTCGGAGTCCGCACCCTCTACCAGTGGCAGGGGGTTGCCATCAACTTGTGGCGGGACTAAACATGGTGCTATAAGAACTGTCCTGGACGTTAATCTGTGTTTTCACTACTTTAGAGATGCCCTTGGTAAAATTGATTAACAAAAGAGAAACTCCCATGTGAATTTTGGATTCCGTTTCCCTTCTTGCTCTGTGTGTGCCTTTTGGGTGCATTGGAATGGCAGTTCTGCAAGTACCTAGGAAGGAGATTAGATCTCAGCAGGTGTCAAGCACGTTAAAGGTCCCAGTTCCTCCCTCCCATTTTTGTTTTCTCTCTGAAGCTTTTTCAGAGGTGTAATTGGTCATGAAACTGTCTAAAGCAAACAAAATAAAACTACCCTGTTGGATCCATTAGGTACCAAATTTTGCCCCTTGAAGAAAAGAAAAAAGAAAAATCTGTCTCCCTTAATGTGCAGTATAAAAATAAGTGTTGTGACTACTAGCGTGCACCAGGCAGCACTGCTAGCTGTCTTTTGTGTTGCGGCAATATAAATGTGTTAATAAAAAGCTCCATCCGTGTGTGTGTTGCTGTTCACGCTGTGTACATAGTAGAGATGGACTTGGTACTACCTTGAGCTCTGGGGAGATTGGGATGCGGGTTTTGTGACTCAGACCCATCTCCGATACGTATATTCCAGATTAGTTCCAACTGAATCTCTGTCTGGTTCATCCTGGGGTGTACGGCAAGGTGTCGGTATTTACCCTTTGTGTATCATTCCTTTTTATACGAATGTATTCTTTTGTGTTCCTTTTTTTTATCAGTTGTAAAATTGATTGTAAAAGCCAACTACACTTACCGATTGAAAGTATTGCTATAACAGAACTGCATGCCCTGTAGAGTTTGACTTGAGCTTTAGTTTTCTGATATCGGACTGGTTACCTTCAGTCTAGGAGAAAAGCATAGATCAGGTGCATAATGTGTTACTTGTCATCTTTAGCATTAGACTGTGGTATTGTATCACATGCTGATCTCAATGGATGTAACTGGAGTCTACCTTGGAAGTTAATGCAACTTCCTGGTAATTCATTTTAAGCTTTTGAAAGTGGTCTTGATCATGCTACTTGTGTTCTTGGGTTTTTGTTTTTTTAATAGAGGCATTTTTTAGGAATGTTTTAATACACTTATGATGGACAATACAATAGTTTTAATAGTTGTGCAGTATTCTGTATTTACTTGAAGTAAATCATTTTATATGCAATTTGTTAGATAATTACAATTTTATAAATAAAATTGCGTGAAATATCTTGTTGTGAATGTGTACTCTTGATGTAGCACTTAACTGTACAAAGATATGTTCATGCAGAACATATCCCCCCAAATTAACAGGGGAACTAAATCCCCAAGTGCGGAATATTGTCTTCTAATTAAATCACCAAACACACGATCACGCCGCCAGCGGCTGCCCTT